CATCCATCGACTCCAAGCAGATCGCAAGAGCAAGACGTGAATGTGTGCAAGAATAACCAGCTCAGGACCAGCTTAAACCAGCTCATGACCAACTACTAAGGACCAATTTAAACCACCTCCAACCAGCTGCCATGCTTCAAAACATACCTAACCAGCATATGCTGGTTTTTTTCAACAGGGGAATGAAACAGTGAAAAAGTAGGCAAAAGTACCCAGATGCTTCTGCAGAGATTCTGAAGTGCATATACAGTGCGTATATGCTTTATTATCCCATGAGGCCACAGGAGAGGATTTGTGAATGGTAGTGAAGCGAAATAACTTCCGCTGAATTACATTCATACTAAATAGAACATACTTTTTAAATGGTCATGAAGTACTTATTCAAAGGAAGTACCTACTCATATAGTATACGCTTTCGGATGCAGCCTTGGTCACTGAATCATTCATTCAACCAATTCATTCATAAATGCCTATTCATTCAGAAACTGTGTTGCTCAGAGGCGCTTTATTTGGCTCTATTTATGTTGGCTGAGCAAAAACAGACTAAGTAACCAATAATATTGTTCTTAAAATGTAAGTCGCACAATACTAACATCTTGTTTACTGAATTTTTTAATAAAAGCAACATTATACTTGCGATCACCCCTTTTTTGTCTGAATAACATAAGTCATATTTCTGGTTTCACTGGAGGCTTTTTCTAAATATCTAAATCAGGTCATTGTTCTTGAGTCAGCTGGTCTAATGAATGAGCTTTGGCACTGCAGGCCTTTTGTGTCCAATTCAACATTTAAATTCTCCTTCAAACGACAAGAAATCCATTGGTTCTTATCACTTGTCTTATCCAAATGATCACTGATGGACCACTAAAAGCTTTAGGTTCATTATAGACTAAAGTTTTCATTAATTATACAGCCAAATATGGCAGTTAGTCATTACTATGTTCCCTGATACATGTGAGGTACCTGCCCTCTTTATGAACATGCTGTAACTGCTTTAACTTATGCAGACTTCAAAGCTGAGAATCATGTGACTTATTCTGCCCTAATTGGAGGTTCATTAAGGGACTATATATGCCTGCTGGGTAGACCATGCTGTCGTACCCCTTCCCCTAACACAGCTAGAATGTTTTCCAGTTTCACATGTATTATAAAAATGTCTACACGGAAAATTAGATTTGCTGAATTTTCTTGAATGGAGCACTATTGATGTACGCACACTCACACAGACATAGCGTATTTGTCACTAGCTGTTCAAGCTGTGCATTAAAAAGAACAATTAGCAGTCATCTGATTCACTGAGGGTGAAGAAGTTCAGTGATCTTGTGAATCCTGTGTTTCATGCTATATTGCTCTTTACGTATGCAAGCTCATGGCTGATGGGGGAGAGCTGACCAGCACATAGTGTCCTTGTCCTTAAGCTAATGATCCTGTCCCAGTTAGTAGGGTAAGAATGACTAAACCAGACAGTGGATTAATCATGTTAAAAGTGTCAACTTCAAGGTGAGTCTCTTCAACCTATTTGTTTAAAAAAGTGTGGTTTTCTAAAGGAAGACCTCAGAGAGGATGAGTGACTTTTAGCTTGCGAACTTGATTTTTTTTTTTTCATTTTCCGAGGGATATGTGAGTGTAATTGCCTTAAAACTGAGGTATGGTTGTGGTTGCTAAGGCTTTCACGTGGTTTCTAGTTTCTAGGGTGATTACTTACTGGCCAATGCATATTTACAAGTTCACCATTCTGACATTGAAATAGGCCATTCAGAAAATACATAAAAATTCCAAGGAGGTTTTTATTTGTGTGTGTGTTTTGGGGGCAAATGCACCCTACTGTCAGAGAGTGAATTTGCACTTTCATTTTGCCCATCTTCTGTTTGAAATATAAAATACATAATGATTTATAATTTTGTCTTTTCCCTTGTCTCCTTGCTTAAAAATTGTTTAAAGGCTGAAATGTGAGGTTTATAATTTTCTAAAGCAATGCTTTTGTTACAACTGCATTATTAGAACTATAAAGTTTTTTTGGTCATCTTACAGTTTACAGGTGTTGTTTCAAAACAACATTACTACCTAAACAATATGTAGTTCTATTGTAAAAGATTTGATCAGATTTTTCTAAATTTGTTAAGAAAAAAATTAAGTATTAATGAGTATTATTCATATAATATTATTTTGTATTTTATTAGAGTTGAGCTACCCCTCCTCTTCATAACCTGCTTCAGCACAAAAACAGTCCACCGAAACAGGCAAAAAATTTTTAACTGTGTAGGAAAATAATAAATAGTACACCTCTTCCAATGTTTCACGTAATACAGGAAAAGTGCATATATTGCATAGTATTAGACTCAAAATTATTGTAATATGCCATTGTTTTATTTCAGAAAATATTCTTAGCAGAAAGAGAAGATGTGATTTGCATAAGTATTCAATTTCTGTATTGCAGGAGTGCGAAGTTTACAGAGAATAAAAACAAAAATATTGTTACCACATGAAAACTGATTTGCATAAGCATTCAATCTCTGTATTGCAGAAATGCGAAGTTTATACGGACGAAAAACAATTGCACTAATGAGCGCCTTACAATTGACCTCTGCTTGTGAATCATTACAGTAACTGCCACATTTCCTGGATAGAAACCCTGCAGTGAAGCATTATTGAAGTTGTGAATCTAAAACACATTTATGAAAATTAATCCCATCCAAATGTAAGGTTCTTATCTACATTTTTGCTGTTAATTTGAGATTGTATGTCTGCAGTTTTTCACAGTCTGAAAAATTCATTATGCTAACAAAGAAATATTACTTTTCCTCTAGATTGTCGGTCAGTAAAACAAAAATAGAAGATTTTGTGATGTTATAGCAGTGAATGTATATCACCTGAAGAGTGTTGTATGGGTTTAGTTTTATTTGACAGTGGGGGTAAGGTGTGTTTGTTTCTTTCTGTGTGTGCTGCTGACTGTGTTCGTGTCAGCTAATGTCTGTGAGAGAACAAGCAGCAGTCTCTTTCATACTCACACATGCTGTTGATCTGGCCTCACTTTTGCTTTGCTTCAGATATTTCTGCACTTTTGATGAATGTGTTGCTGTTTTCCATAAGGGGCATCAAATGATGACATAGCTATTATATAAAATGTTTTATGGGGCTTTTTTGGCACTTGTAAAATCATTCATGGATGCAAATTGTGAAATAAAATGAAACCTGATTATGGATGCGTTGGTCTGTTATTGTCTTCAGTCTCAGAAACTATGAAGAGTCAGTGCCTGGGTAGCATGCCGACATGCAGCGCCATTGCGCTATGGGCCTCCCGAGTTCGAATCCCGACTTAAGGACGTTTCCCGATTCTGCCCCCATCTCTCACCCACTTCACTTCCTGTCAGCTCTGATCTGTCCTATCATAATAAAGACAAAAATGGCAAAAATAAATCTTAAAAAAAGATCTATTTATACTTAATTTATTCTGTGCTCGTCGGTGCAGCCAAAGATAGAACAGTTAGCATGCTTTGCTCGAACTTTCGCCATGGGTGGAAACTTGCTGATTAAGGGGCGGTAATATTATAATAATATCCATTTTCTACGTCACGGGGGGGAGCAAAATCTGAGTGGCTCATTTTTTACAAACTTGAAGAGAAATGCTTACCAAAAAAATTTACAGGCTTGTTCTTTTTCAAGTTTTCTGGTTTGTTAGATGCACCAGGGATCTGATTACTCGAACACGGGAAAAAGTCAGATTTTCATGATATGTCACCTTTAAAACTGAAAAAAAAAACTTTTTAGAAAGCAAATTGAAACTAATATTTAAAATTTGTTAATATGTTAATAATATTGTGTTTTTGAACATATTTATTTAATGTATGAAGTTAAAGTTAACTTTGACAACTCTAAAAATATCTATTTTTAAGTAATGTAAATATAGATGGACATAGATATACACATACATACATTCAAGTATAAATACCTTTCATCTCTCTCTTTCTTGCTCTCATTCCCTCGCTATACCTCTCAAATTTCCCCTGGACCCCCTTCCAGTCCAGTTTGAAACCCCTGATGTAGATGATTCTATTTTTGACCGATATACAGTAGACTCATCTCTTCAATAAAGATCTATAGAGCTCTAGGAAACCACTTTGGGTGATACAGGGTGAGCCAAAGAAACAACACTGGGAGAGCCAAAAACCTCTTTTGAGAAAGTTCCGCCAGAGCATAATGGGATTGCATCTGACAAGATAGGAAAATACAAAGAAAACAAGAAGGAGGGGGGGGGGGGGAAACAAAAAGAAAGGTCATGGTTAGTGTACTTGTCATCAAGCCACATTCTAGTTCTGGCTCCAAGTCAACACACAAGTGATTTTCCTTGGCCTCTCTCTTCCACAGAGTTCTCACCACTATGATTATATCTATTAATAATGCTTGCGATCCATCATGTATTGTTGTTTGCAACAAGACTTGTGGTATTAGCACTGCACAGCGAGATAAGGTTGCACTCAAACATGTATTTAAGGATGACACCCTCATGTAATACACCCTCTGTGTGCTGTCTGAGTAATGGTAGGGTAGGTCTGCCAGTGCTGGCTGTTAGCGCTCTCCTAGAACTAATGAAAAAGGCCCCATTTCATTTAAGGAAAGTGGCGCCATAATAGGCCTTCATCCCAGAGAGTGCTTTTTCAGGTAGAGGGATGCTGAAACACAAGAGCCTCTCATCATTAATTACGCTAAAAGGGAGGCTGTGCCTTTAAAAAAAAATAGTATGGCCGTTTTAGTATGCACATGGGAACCCTGAATTCACCTTGTTTGAATGCACTTTGAATACGGGATTTTGCTGAAAAGCCTTTTTTGATGCTAACATTACTTCGTTCAGTGTCGTACAAACTGTGTGAACTTTTTAAGTTTTTAGACAGTGCTTTAGTACAAATGTTTTTGTGCCGAGTGTCAATATGTAGATGAAAGGCTCGATTGTGAGTGTTTCTGATTAAGTTCAGAGATGACGCCATGTTTGTTTTTCTTCCAAGGGGCTCGGGGAGGCTTCAGCGAGGGGGACGAGCATGGAAGGAGACTGCCTCAGCTGCATCAAGTACCTCATGTTTGTCTTCAACTTCCTTATCTTTGTGAGTATTTATGTGTCTGATGTTGACAAACACTCAGAAATACAAATTAATATTTTTTAATTAAACTTAAAGGGTTAGTTCACCCAAAAATGAATATTCTGTTATTACTTACTCACCCTCATGTTGTTCCAAACCCGTAAGAACCCAGAACACAAATTTGTATTATTTGATCAAATCCGAGAGCTCTCAGACCCTGCATAGACAGCAAGGTTACTACCACGATCAAGGTCCAGAAACGTAGCAAGGACATTAGTAAAACAGTCCACCGGTGAGTGGCGCAGGTGTTGTGCATTATCACTTACTCCACCGGCCTCGCTCTGTTCCGACGGTTCTCGGCCCCGCCCCACTCGTCACATTTAACAATTCTTCTCCTCCTCATCCAGTTTGCAGCGGCGCGCCGCCATTATGGAGAGAGTATTATGACGCATGCGCTTGCTTCCGCTTCATGTAAACAACACATGCGCGTGATGACGCATGTCTGTTTTGACGTAATCAGCGTTGTTTACGTTCAGCATGCACACGCTTTCTCCTGAACGTAAACAATACTGATTACGTTAATTACGTTCAGGGGAAAGCGCGCACATGCGTAGTGGTACTCTCCAAAATGGTGGAAGACGGTAACTCGGGGAGAAGAATTGTTGAATAAATTATGTTATTTTTGTTTTCTTTGTGCACAAAATGAATTCTCGTAGCTTCGCAAAATTGTGTTGAGCCACTGATCACATGGACTGTTTTACCGATGTCCTTGCTACGTTTCTGGGACTGGGAACGGTACAACGGGGCTAAAGGCGCCCAGGGGTAAAAGGCACCTTTTATATTATTTTCCTCTAAACCACTAGATGGCACAAAAACCTGGCGTAGCACTTTCCAGAACATTCGCTTTTCAAGATGCACGTGTATATTTGGCTGATCCTTGACGCGATCGCGCGCAGCAGTGCAAAGTTGATTCTGTGCTTACTTGATCTAATATTTTATGTTTTTTTTAAATGTTGTAGATTTAAGTAGCAAATGAGAATCACTAAAATTAATGGAATTGAGACAAAGGTCTTCTTAACAATTTTCAATAATTGATAATTAAAGCAACAGTTTTTAAATAACGAAAGAATATTTAAAAGTATGGTATTTGGGGTAAAAAAAGTGGCTTTGATCATCTATCTAGGTTGACAATATAAATGGCCACTGTGGGATTGGCATAGACAGAGAAAGATTTGGACTCATTTCGTTTGACTGAATTAATTATATCCCAACAACGAGAATAATGTGATGTACACACGTAAGTACAACGCCAACAATAAAATAGCTTGTTTTTGTTAAAAAATGCTAATATAATTCTCTGAAATCCATTTAATAAGCCAAAAACAGCTGCTCATATTTATTCTTCAGAATTTTTTTTTTTTATGATTTTCTTTCTGTATTTTAAAATATATATATATATATATATATATTTATATTAACATATTTTAATGACAGTATATTTATTAAACAAAAAATAATTATTTTATTTTTCAAAATAAGCTGAAAATAGTACAAACTTTGCTAAAGTGATTGTTTTGAACAAGTATTAACTTAGACATTATTTTAAAAAAAAAACATTATTTTAAGTATTTGTATCAATACTGTGTGCCTCCCTTGCCACCTCATACATTTATAAGATTTTTAAACAAAATAAACGACTTGCATGGTTTATTTTCACACAAAATCTGTTGCTCCATTAATGTTTAATACAAACTTATATTTTTTATAATTTTAGGTGCAGTGAAAAGCACATTTTTTCTTAAGGTGTGCCTTTAGCCCTGTTGCTCTTTTTAAAAGTATGCTAAAGTGTACTAATTTTTCACAAAGATATTCTTTGACTTTATATTTCCCCCAAAATTCAGCCTGTAGACTGTTAGGATTCACAGATTTGTAGCAGAACAACTACTTGTTTAAACATTTCAAAGCAAAAGAGGGGAAGATACAGGGAGAGAAGGAGGGAAGAGACAGCATGTGCTTCTTTGATCATCTATCTAGGTTGACAATATAAATGGCCACTGTGGGATTGGCATAGACAGAGAAAGATTTGGACTCATTTCGTTTGTCTGAATTAATTATATCCCAACAGCGAGAATAATGTGATGTACACGCGTAAGTACAACGCCAACAATAAAATAGCTTGTTTTTGTTCAAAAATGCTAATATAATTCTCTGAAATCCATTTAATAAGCCGAAAACAGCTGCTCATATTTATTCAACCCTAAAAACTATTAAAACACCAATTTAGTGATACAGTCAAGCTGTTTATGACAAAAATAGCTGCTGTGACAGGACTCCGCTTGACAGACACATTGCTAATGCCATCCATGAAAAGAATCCCAGGTTTGGCTCACAGGAGAGAGAGACTGAGGAACATGTTTTTTTGTGAGACTCTTATCTCAAAACCCACCATACAAACCCACACACACACACACACGCTTCTTGAGCTGCTTAATCACCAGTCTGGTGTCTGCTCAAACCTTCATCTGTCTGTGTGTGTGTGTGTGTGTGTGTCTATGAACGATGGTATGGAGGAAGGGTATCACTTTGACAGGTAGAGGATTGTGGGAAGCTGCAAAAGGAACAGTAGCATTTCCCAGCCCCCACTCGACTGTCTTTGACTCGCCTGTTAAAACTCCTCAAGCTCCTCTATCCATTCACCTTCCCCCTCCTCTCTGGAAGCGTTCACTTTCAGTAGCCGTTTACTCAAAAATGATGTATTTTCAGGAGTCGAGCCCATTAGTATTCTCTCTCTGCTCGGTAGCACGTTAACCTTTGTGTTCACTTTACCAAGTAATGTGCATACAACTCAGCAGTTTGTGGTGCATGATCATTTTTCATATTTATCATAATCATTAATCCTGCACTTGTAAAATAATCAGCAATCATTATCTTTTTTAGTTCATGTTAAAAAGTGTTATTTTATTATAGGATGTTAAGTGGATATTACTGCATATTGCTTTCATAGAATGTGTCTTGAATGTAATAATGTTGTGCCATTAGTAATATCCTTTATCTGAAATAATTCTACTAATTCACTAAAATACCAATGGTATTATCTGATGTGTAACCATGTAAATACTATGGTATGTGAATATGATTATAACAAGGAGCTAAAGGACCTTTTTTATCATACAACATTAAATTCCACTAAAAATAATAATATGGATACTGTGAAAATTAAATGAAAATTACTAAAGTTGCTACTGAAAATCCATGAAATGAGTTTTTTTTTTAGACTTTCTGAAGATTTTCAGTCTTGTTCAAGGCTTTTCAGTCACTGATGATTAAGTAAAAATATATTTTCCATAAAAACAAAAATGTTCCTTTGTTGAAGAGTCTTAAACCCTCATTAAAAGACCTACTGTTGCCAAAAACTGAACCAAAATGCTTGGATAGGAAATGGGGAAGATGCAGAATGGCTGAACTGTAATGTTTTGTTTTTTTCTGTAATAGGTAGGACATTTTTTTGGATGTTGTGAAGGGTGTGTGACGTGGCCCCATGTTAACTGATCCAATCACAATGAAGATTAATTTGAGATTTGTATGCCTGGACCAATATTTTAGCATCATTCAAGGGATAGTTCACCCAAAATTCATAATTTCATCAAGATGTTTTGAACAATGTTGGTAACCAAACAGTTGTGGTTACCATTGACTTCCATTGTATGGACAAAAAAAGCATTTTGAGACATTTTTCATAATATGTTCCACGAAGAAAAATCATATAGGTTTAGAATGACATGAGGGTTTTCATTTTTGGGTGAACTATGCCTTTAAATGTTACTCCTCAAATTTTTATGTGTCAAACTATTTGCATATGACATATGAAAATCACTATAGCCCCTTTATCAACCCTAGGTAAACCTCCCTAATTTTACTGTAGACACTGTATAAGTTTAAATAAATGCATTGACATTTTAATTTTGCATTTCATGCAAATGAGAAGAAATTGATTTCTTTTTTGCTTTATAAAAAATGAAAAATAACACAAACTGTAATATAGTAATATTAAATGGCTTTTTTTTCTTTATCTCTCCATCTCCACAGCTGGGTGGCTCCTTCCTCCTTGGTGTTGGGGTGTGGGTGGTGGTGGACCCCACGGGTTTTAGGGAGATAGTGGCAGCCAACCCCCTTCTCTTCACGGGCGTTTACATCATCCTGGCCATGGGGGGCATGCTTTTCCTGCTGGGCTTCCTGGGCTGCTGCGGAGCCATACGAGAAAACAAGTGTTTGCTGCTTTTTGTGAGTCACAGTATATTGGAGGACACTATGTTTCAAGCTGCTGACACATAGGCTACATACAGTACATCTATGACATCTATGGTTCCATAAAGAACCTTGAAAACCTTTCCATTGGACATAAGGTTCTTTACAGTGGAAAAAGGTTCTTTAAATTATTAAAATGTTTCTCACACTAAGAAATGAATGGTTATTTTAAGAACACTGAAAGGTTCTTTGGGGAACCCAGAATGATTAATTTATGGCATTGTTGTGCAAACCCATTTAGAGAACCACCATTTTTAAGAGTGTAGCAAAATACAGTCCTGTTTCATAGCAGTTATATTCATACAGACAGGATTTAGTCTTTTAGTAAATACAGTTGTCTGACCCAAACACAGACTGTGTGACAAAATCCTCCTCTCTCTGCAGTTCTTCATGCTGATCCTCATTATATTCCTGGCAGAGCTGGCGGCAGCCATTCTCGCCTTCATCTTCCGGGAACATGTGAGTGACCATGTCCAACATGTTGAGGCAGCTTCATGTTTTCAGTGTTGGCGTGCTGCTAATATCTCTAATATTTTAATTTGTGTGTGCGTGTACAGCTGACCAGAGAATACTTTACTAAGGAACTGAAGAGACACTACCAAGGCTACAACAAAACTGATGTCTTCACATCAACGTGGAACGCCATTATGAATACAGTAGGTCTTGTTTGTTCCTTAAACTTCAGCTACTGCGAATCAATGTTTACCAAACTTATTTGACCCATCAATACCTCAAAAATGAGCTTATTTTAACTAATATTTGCCTGGATCCTCTGTATCCCTCTAGTTTGACTGCTGTGGAGTGAACAGTCCAGAAGACTTTGAGGAAAGCATCTTCAGGTTTATAAACCCTGGTGAAGTGGTGCCTGAGGCCTGCTGCCGTAGGAATAGTCATCTTGGAGAAGCAGGCTTCAGTAACAGGGAGGAATGCCTGTCAGGCAGCATGCTATACCGGAACAACAAGGTGGGTTCTCGTACTTCTGTATACGTCACATCCCCTCTGCCTGCTCAAAAGCTCATAGCTCAGATTTAACTAGAGCAGAAAAACAGGAAAAGAGGAATAGGGTTACCACTCAGCTTCAGCTCTCCCAATGCTGACTAGTGCTTTTCCATGTTCTCAGTGTCTGGGGAATGTGAGTGCGTGTGAGAGTTTCTGTGAAAGCGAGCAGGGGCAGTAAAACTTAAGTAAGGGTCCGCATGGGTTTTTAGACAGATGTCCTCTAGTCATGCATACTTGTATTAAAAAGTTACAAGTTGACTCACCCTCATGTAGTTCCAAACCCTTATGAGTGTATTTGTAAAATAGAACATTTGTCATTTTGAAAAATGTTTACACACTTCACAGCTGTTTAACATCATAATTATGAAAAAAAAACACTATCAAATAGTCCATATGACTTGTGTGCTGTATTCAAAGTCATCTGGAGTAATTTGATAGTCTTGTGTGAAGAAAAGGCTCATTGTTGAATCATTGTTCACTGATAATCTTCTCCTTCAGTCAGATGTTCGTTTGATATCAGATCAGAGTCAGTTTGATTCTTGATCAAATTGTCCAGTACAGTTCAAAAGTCACATTTTTTTCAAAGCAGCTGTAACAAAAGTCATACTTGTATGTCTAATGCCTTAGAGATCCTCTAGATTTAGATGTAACTATAGTCAAGATGGCACCATATTTCATTTTTGACAGGAATGAAAAAGAGACTGTGAGAATAAATGTGCAGCCTGTTCAATTGTACTGTTGTTTAACAACATAACAATTGTTCAGCTGTATTGTTCTATTAAGAGACTGAAATATTGGTTGGTTTTGTTCTAAGTGAGAGTAAGCGATTGTTTGAAAGTATAAATGAAAATATGATCAGTTGTTGCTTGTAAGAAGTCTGAAAAATTGAAATGAACTAAAAAAAAAAGTCTGAAAAAAAAACTAAAGGAAGAGATCAAAGCAATGATTCAGTCACTCATTCAAACTCAATGAACTGGTCACAGCAAAATATAGTGCACAAGTCGTATGCACTTTTTTGAGATTTTTTTTTTTTTTAGATTTAGAGACAACATGTATATATAATGGCATTATTTCACAAAATTGTACAAATAAAATTTTTTTACTTTCTGTTTGGATCTGCAGGGCTGCTATTCAGCGGTTGTGGACTACTTTGAGATGTACATCTATGTTGCTGGTGCCCTGGCTATTGTTGTACTCACGATTGAGGTATGGCATTTCATGATGTCTGTTCCACTGACATTATCTCAGAGAATAGTTTAAAACTGTTGAAGATAGGACAGATCTTGAGAGAATGGCCACAGACACATGAGATTGAGTTTAACAGAAGAGAGACAGTCCTGTAAATTGAATCACTGCTGCCCTCATGTGGTAATGTGCTGGAGGCAGACAGCTACGGTGACTGAGAAGTGCAAAGCAAATCACAATTCTGAAAACAAAATAACTCGGAGATGGTATTAAAGTAGCTCAGTTTAAATGTATTGTATGAATTGCCCTTACTCTGGAATAAAAAATACGGAGTGTATATTTATATTTAGTTAAAAGCAGCTAAAAAACATCAGCTCCAGTGGTGCAGATGGATAAGCGCATGTCCTTGGCTTTTTGACGCGATCAATCCGAGTTCGATCCCGCCTTTTGCCGAACTTTTTTTTTCTCCCTCTTTTTCAAAAAGGAAAACACCACAAAAGAAAACTGAACCACTTGTCAAAGAATGTTTTACTCCATTTTATATCTCGAAAATGATTAAGGAACAAAAAAAAAAGAATCATTGACCTGTACTTCACAGCTGGACCTTTGAGGTACAAGGTAACAAAATAAAACATTGACAAAAAAAAAAAAACATTGTTTGAATACTGCGAAGATTTAATGGGCTTTTTGTCACAAAGCCCATGCATAATTTCGACCAGGTGTTAAATAGACCAGATAAAGGCTGAAAAACAAATGAAGAAGGTGCTGCACTGATTTTGGATGAAGAATATTTATACTGAGTAATGCTGGCTTGTTTGTATAGGCATTTGTGCTTTTAGTAAAAACAAAAATAAAAAAATAGAACAAACCACTCTCCTGTCACCAAGATATCACCACAGTCCTTGAATGCAAGCTTTCACAAGCACATTATATTAGTGTTGTATAGTCATGTGAATTTCCATTTTTATCTATTCCTGTGTGGATGTTGGAGATCTGTGTGTGTTTGTGTGTTTGCGTGTTTGCGTGTGTGTGTAGGGTGAATGTACCTCTCCCCTGCTTGAAGACCAGCATTTTTTTTCTTTCATATTGTGATGTTTATTGCAATAGTAATTCTATGTGATTTTAGCTGAAATTGATGTGTATGCATTTGTATTGAAAATAAGACTAATATTAAAGGAATCTCTGATGAACCATTTGCTCAGAATCTCAGTGTCACTATAAATATCTGACCTTTGGGAGTCTAAGGCTGATGATACATGGGGCAACTTTTTGAGCAATTTTGCTGGGCAACTTTTTTTGAACAATGATTCTTGGGCACTTTCCCATTGAGAATGGGTAACAAATTTCTATCTGGATACTTGAGATCGGATGTGCGCCCTGCATCTCACCTGGTTGCCCGTTGACGCCAACATTAACCAAAGTTGCCCGGCAACATTGCTCAAAACTTTTCCCCCTGCCCTCAAGCCTAGGTCTGCATGGATTTGTTTTTGGACCTGCCACAGCAGAGCAACAATATGACATGAATTCTTTGTTTCTCTCTCCTTTAAGTATATGCCTTATGTTTATTTATTTATTTTTTATATACTAGAAAGTGGGCCAATTTAGTCCCAAGGAGTATTGAAATAGTACACTTACAAGTATACTACTAGTAAACTGATATTTGTATACTTACTACATAAAGTATACTTAAAAATTTACTTGAACTTTACATAAGTATACTTAATAAAATAAACTTGAAGTATGCTACTTTTTGGTAAGGGTAAGTCAAGCACTTTATCTGTTTTTTTACTATTATTATTATTATTATTATTATTACTTGTCAGCTTAGTAAGAAATTAGGTAACATAGCACGAGATAGTGGTGAAAAAATCTCATAAGCTATAAAAAAAAATAGCACACAGTAGTGGATTTCATTTCATTATGTATAAAAATTCTCTTTTTTAACTAATTGTCAGTAATAGCACATGAGTGTCTGAGGGTGAGATCAACAAAAAATCTCATAAGCTACAAAAATAGCACACAGCACTGTATTTGGACACTAAATTCACTTCACCTCAGGTTCACAGAGGTATCCATGTTATGATAATGTTCCAGTAACGTTTGACAAACAGAATGTGTCCAAATACTTTGTCTTCTTTTTATAATGGTAAGCCCTATCTGTTGTTTTATCATTTGAAGCCTAAGCTTCTTTGTGAAATGTTTTACTTGATGAGTGTATTAACTTAGGTCCGTTTACACCAAGAATGATAACTATAAAGATAACTAGAGATATAGTTCTAAAAATCATTTTCAGATATTCTCAATAGCAGAGTCCACACCACAGCTATAATGATAAAGGCACAGAGAAACGATATGGTTGGAATCTTTTCAAAATGAAATTTTGAAATATTTTTTAAAGAAGTCACTTATGGTCTTCAAGCCTGCATTTATTTGATCAAAATTTTAATATAGGCTACTTTAAAATACATTTAATGCAATGCTGATTTATTATCAATGTTGGAAACCTGTGATACTTTTTCAGGATTCTTTGATGAATAAAAAGTTTAGAAAAAAACAGCATTTATTTAAAATATAACTTTTGTAACAAACTACCGTTCAAAAGCTTGAGGTCAGTATTTTTATTTTTTTTTTGAAAGAAATTAGTTTTTATTCAGCAAGGATTTGTTAATATGATAGAAACAGTGATACTAAAGATTGATATTGTTAGAAAACATCTCTGTTTTGAATAAATGCTGTTCTTTTTAACTTTTCATTCAATGAACCCCCAAAAAAGTATCACAGGTTACAAAATAAATAAATAAAATTAAAAAATTAAGCAGCACAACTGTTTCCAACATTGATAATAAATCAGCGCATTAGAACGATTTCTTAAGGGTCATGTGACACTGAATACTGAGTAATGATGCTGAAAATTCAGCTTTGCATCACAGAAATAAATGATATTTTAAAGTATATTAAAATAGAAAAACATTCTTTTAAATTGTAATAATATTTCACAATATTACAGTTTTTTCTGTATTTTTGATTAAATAAATGCATGCTTGAAGAGCATAAGACACTTTCATAATGCTGCATAATTATCAAAAAACGGTAATATAATAAAGTCCTTTTACGTCACCATTTCACCAGCCTACACTTCACATAAAAGGCCTGTAGGTGGCACTTGGGCTTCATTAACTACTGATGTGACTTGACAAAATGTCATAGAGCCACTGCGGTGGGCCTTCTCTCACTACTATGAATCACTATGAATCACTCTCCACTCCATAGACTGAGAAAGAGCTTTTTATCTTCTTAATATCAATCTGGACTTAGTGCTGTCATCATACAGATGCCAATACGTTATCAGCAGAGTTTACACGTAACGTTTTGGTAACGGTACGGTTCACTTGGAACCCCAACCGAGGTGGTACTAAAAAAAGTACCAGGTACCAGGTACTGTACCCAGTGGAAAACCCCCCAAAAGTGAACCGTACCGAGTCGTACCGTGCCGTACCATGTAGTGGAAAAGCGCCATATGATAATTTCATGGAATAGTAAACGGTGTTCAAGTGAATTACCATTATTGCGACTTTTAGCGCTGCACGGTTTTGTGCAGTGCTTTTGTAGCCATTTAGCATCCATTTTCTCAGCGATTTACCTTGATTTTTAAAATGACACAAACCGCAGATCCAGATCGCTCTACAAATGTAAGCTCGTCTGTCCATGTAATTTTCAACTGATTTATGAATAAGAACGGAAAATGACCGCTCCACTTCACATTATTGTCCAATGAAATTTTAACTTCTTGTGCCAGATCATAATTGGTTGGTGTATTATACATGACTAACGGGCATTGATGAATTATGTAATATTCTAAAAAAAAAAGCCTAATTAAATCGACACACTAGCTTTGATTATTGATGAAAAAAAGTTTCAAATATTGTTTAGTTAATTTTTGCTGCGACCCATAAGCACTCACTGAAAGAAGGTTTCCGAATCAGTCAGTCAAGCAAAACCAAACGCACGCAACCATAGCAACGCCTCAGATTGACAGATATGTAAAAAATAAACAGGATTTTACCGACTTTTGAGCGATTAATTACTGTTTTGTACACATTGTCATGTTAATTATAATTCAAATGCATTTTGTTTTATTGACCACAATATCATTGCTATTTGTCTTTTGAATAATTTTGAAAAAGGGCAGGGGCTTGAGCCCCCAAAGCCCCCCCTTCTGCACGTGCCTGCCTTCCAGGAGAAGCATGCACCTCACCCAGAAGCAGGTAAGAATGGTAATAAAGATACTTTATACAGAGAGCATAATATCAGTAGAGAAATGCTTCATTGAGTGGCAGGTGACACGTTTTCTTATGTTAACAGCTTTCCATGGAAGATAAACATTAAATTTTTAATTGCAATTGAGAAAAGTTTAGAGTGGAGTGGGCTTTTAAGGCAGATTTGTATCATTTATGCACACCTTTATATGAAATAACCTGAATTAAATGTCTTTGTTCATCCAAAGTACTTGGAGAAAACCCAAACCTTTTTCAGAGAAGTGAACAGGCCACAGGGAGACACTGTTTCAAACTCTTAACAATTTTTTATTAATTTATTAATTGATAGTGTATTATTTTCAGATGTGGGAGAGCGGGGCACAAAGTAACACTTTTTGACTTTCTCAAATTGTGTAAATCCACATGGGGTTCAGAGTTTAATTTTTTTATCCACAGTAATTTCACACTTGTCTAGTACAAATAAGTCGCTTTGTTTCATAATTACAGTGTACATTGACTGTCAGTCTTTATTCACCTGTTTCTCGTCGTTTATCATTAAAATTTATTAAAGTAAATAGTGTGAATTATATCGCTAATGTCATAGAAAAGCACGGCAGGGCACATTGTAACGCTGTGTTACAACATACCCCATCTGCGCAACTGGAATTTAAAACCGTTCACTGTCTTCTGATAGTTAGCGAAGCATTAAAAAAATAATCTAAACTGATAAATAACAGATTGGAGATATCAATCTGGCAGATTTGTCTCATTTTAAATGAGTAATAAAAACTGAGATGAAAATTTTACTTAAGCCAGAAATATA